GGCAGTCCTTAGAGGAAGAACCTACTTCTGTGGCTAGCTGTAGTTCTTCCAGGTCACGCTTGACCACCTGGGCTGGGCCTCACCTCACCAATGCCACCCTTCAGCTCCTGCAGCTGGGCATGATGCCACTGCAGACGTGGGCTCCCGGCAAGGGATTGTGCCATTCTGGAGCTGTTCTTCAATAAACTGTGAGAGAAAGAAACTTCTCTAAAAGCAAAACTTCGGCAAGAGAAAAGAGGTCTAGACAATGAACTGTTGTTCTGAATCGCTCTACAGCCTTTCATCTCATACATCCGGGCCCTAGGAGAAGAAATGACAGGAGCTTTCAAACCACTTAACACCAGTGGATGTGGTGGATGTGCCTATAAAACACAGCACTCAGGAGGCTGACTGAGAGCCCAAGGCGATGGGCCAGGAGCGAGGTGGGCTCTCTGCAGCCTGCAAGGCCTGAGCCTGAGCGACCAGCCCGCCCAGGGCCACCGCCATCCCTCAGTGCATTCTGGCAGTCAGGAACAGGAAGTACAGTGGCAAAGCTTACCTAAAGCACCCCCTAGTGGAGGCCAGCTTCCTCCCTTCAAGCACTACATACTGACCAGGGGACAGGGGGAACTGTCCTTGGCTGCTAAGGAGGGCAGAGAGCTGGGGAACCAGGACACAGGCATTCCACATGACAGGGAGAAGCCTGGCCTTATCTGTGTGCCCACCCTTGGGCAGCAAACATTGCTCCCTTGAGGCAACATCCAGCATGTGTCCTAGACCTCGTGGACCCTTCCTGTGCTCCTGTGTAGCCTCTGTGTCCAGTCAGCTGGGCCTGGTGCAGAGCGGTGCCCCTCGGACAGAACTGAGCCCCTTCCCGCCAAGCTGCCCAAATGCCCTTTGCTGAGGCCTCCTTATGGGTCAGAAAGAAGGTCAAATAGAAATGCAAAAAGGGTTGTGTCAAGGTCATCTCTGGCTCGGAACACTATGGAGCCAAGTTATGGCAGCGGAGGGGGAGGAACCTGGTGTCCTAGGGCCAGGGGCTTGGGGGCCGCCTGGACGAGGACCTTGCTTCTGCCCTCTTTCCATAAGCTGACCAGTCTGCACAAAGTGTCCACTTTTCCTACAAAGCAATGACACAGCTGCAGGGGACACAGGCAGGCTGAAGTCAAAGGGCACCTAGGCAGCAGGTGGTAGTCGTCGGCTGGAGCCCAGGGCCTGCCCCTCCTGGTGTGTGGTGGGGGCACCGCAGGGCCCAGGTCCTGGCTGCTGCTGCTTCTGTGGTAACAGAAGCCGCCCCCCCCCCACGTGCGGGTCTTGGTCAGGTCAGCTGATATTTCCTCCTCCTCTGAGGTATCCCCCAAGCCTCAGGGCATTGTCTGTCAGGAGAGCCAAACACGGAGTGGGACCTGCTGAGCCATGACCTGCACCACAAAGAGGAGCTCGGGGCTGAAGTAAACTGTCAGGTGTGTGCCACGTGACTGCAACAGGCAGTGACCCCGATTTTAGTTTAAGAATTTATCTTCATATAAACAGCAATGTTTTATGGACCAAAACCTTTCATGTTACCCAGACATGGCTGGATCTTTTCCTATTCTATAAAATGTGAATGTTAAATTTTTGGTTTTGTTACCAAAAATCAAACTCAGGACCTCCCACTTGCCAGGCAGCCACTGTGTCACTGAGCAACATCCCCAACCCTGATGTGTTGTTTCTAAAATAGGAAATAACATGAACTGAAGGTGCCCAATCTTAGAAGTAGACACTAGGTATGGGATGGACAGTGGGGTCACATGGCCAGCAGGACCCTGCTGGGACACCTGATCCTTTAGTACCAAGCAGATAGGAAGTGCTCCTCCTCCTCCTCCTCCTCTTGCCCACACCCACCCTGGAGAGGGCAACACAATGCTTCCAGGTCACAGGTTATGGTTGGGAATAGCCTTACGCATTCTCAGTGTGTTACCTCCTCAATATCTGTTACCCCAACTCCCCACCCAGTTCTGGGGACTGAATGCAGAACCTTTACACTGAGCTACAGCCCCAATCCTTTTTAAAAATTTATTTATCATCTTAAGTCAAGGTCTAGTCTGGGCTCGAACTTGCCATCCTCCTGCCTCAGCCTGCCACGAGGGCTGGGATGACAGGCCTGCGCCGCTGTGCTGCCCAATTCATGCATGGAAACCCTTCCTCCTGTGCGACGAAGGAAGAGGTGAGGTCTCCAGGAGAGGGTGGGTCCTGAGGGTGGATCCCTCACAGACAGGATCAGTGCCCTTAAAGCATGGGACTGGATGGAACCGGCGTCCTTTCTACCACAGCCACTCGAGGACACAGCCCTTACGGGTCACCCGTGAACAGGAAGCAGGCCTCGCCACAGCCCACCACAGCAGCAGCCAGCCGTTCCAGTGAAGGGGTAACCACCCTTGAGAAAGTTCTTTTTAAAACTTTGTTCTTTTGGAAGCAGCCTAGCTCTGGGACTGTTTCATGGCTCTGCCATTGCTCTGCAGCCCCCTGCAGCCACCAGAGTGGACAGGACACGCAGGACGTCTGACTGCAGCTGATGGACAGCAGTCCAGCCCTATAAGTGGTGCTCTTGCCTAGCTGATCAGAACCACCGCCAGGCCCTTCTGCCCCCCATACCACTGCTTGCGCATCACAGAAAAGCCCTTGAACAGAGACCAGGCCTGGTGTTCTGGGAGTCATCTGACCAGTGCGCACTGATGTATGCTGATGTATGATAAATCAGCCTCTACTTCCTGGGTGTTGTCGCAGTGTGTGTGCTGTTATAGCTCCAGAATGAGAGGCCAGCGCGTACTCTTCAGGCTCCCAGCCCAGGGGGTTCGTTATAGCACGGGCTCAGCGCAACAGACAGCAACACAGTGCTCGGCAGGAAGGCATCACGGCCTTGCTCTTGCCTGGGATTGTTTTTATGCGTTCACTTATTTGTGGAAAACTCACGGTTGCTGATCACAACCGCGCAGGAAGCAAAGCACTCCTGGAAGAGAGTCCATCCCCCAACCCTGAGCACCAGTCAGCCACCCTGCAAGGGACGCCAGCCGGGCCTTAGGCGCTGCAGGCTGTGCAGCCTCTCCCTGCAGGTGGGCAGCTGGACCCCTCACAGGCACGGCTGCACAGCAACCACCGTGGCTGGCTATGGCCCTGGTGTGGGCCCTTGCTCCAGCGTACCTGTTTCCTTTGTGCAGGGACCTGCCCTAACGGGGCCACCTCCCAGCAGGGGGCCAAGTGCTTCTTGGGACCATTCTTCCTGTCTTCCTAGACCTGTAATCCTTGTGAGACATGTGCATCCCAGGCACTCCAAAGGAGTGCTATGCACGCCCCCACCAAGTCACTCATGTGGCCAGAGGTGAGGCTCTGGAAGGTGGGGGGATCGTGCGGTGCCACACTCATCCGTAGACTCACCCACAGAAGGGTTCATGCTGACTGCGCTGACAGGGACGGAGCCTGGTGTAGGTCCCTGGCGGCTGTGCCTCTGCAGGGTGTCCCTCCTGCCGCAACTCCTCCCCCAGGCCCCTCTACCACACCCTTTCTGCCTGGCAGATGGCTGACCAGGCTACTAAACCCCCAAACCACAAGCCACCATAACCGTCTCCTCCTGTAAGTTGCCAATGTCAGGCACAGATTTTTATTCCGGCAAGAAGGATGCAGACTTAATATAGGAGGGTGCTGCTGGCAGGATGTGGACAGCAGGAGGCCCAGGACGTGGACAGCAGGAGGCCCAGGACGTGGGCAGCAGGAGGCCCAGGATGTGGGCAGCAGGAGGCCCAGGACGTGGGCAGCAGGAGGCCCAGGACGTGGGCAGCAGGAGGCCAGGCTGCAGCCCCCAGCTCACTCTGCCTCTCCAGGGAGTCTTAGGCTGCTCTGACACTGGGTAGGTGATAGGCAGCACGAGCCAGGAAGGAGCAAACAGCACAGGAGTGCAAAAAAACAGGGCTGTTTCCGTGAGGCAGAGAAGAGAGAGGCTGCAGTGCTGGAAACCTGACACAGTCCTGGAGTTCACCAGAAACAAGTGTGGGATCCCGCCAGCCGCTCCCACACACACAGCTGGAGAGCTAATGGGGGTGCCTGGGCTGTGGCAAGAGCAGGTGTGTCACGGGACAGGCACTGCTGGAACCAGCAGAGGCCACTTCTCTTCTGGGCCAGCGCACAGCCCAGTCATCCCCTCCCAAGACTCAACTCCAAAGCTAGGGCCTCCCAGAGACCAGGCTGGAGACCACCCTGCCTCCCTCTCCCACTCCCTGTCACAGCCCACATCAGGCACCACAGCCCTGAGGCAGACCCTGAGGCTCTCCTGGGGAACTGCCCCTCCGATTTAGGGTAGCTCCCAGGGGTGGGGGTCAATAATGAATACAACAGCATAAGGCAATTCCCCAGTGCTGGATCCCCAGCCTGGGCCTGGAATGCTAGCATGGTTTTTTGGCATTGTTTGTGGGGGTTTGAAGGGTGGGGGTCCAGGCTGGCCTTCTCTAACCTTTCAGCTCACTGTGGGCAAGGCCTAATCCTCAATATGCACATGCTTTCCCAAAGGCAGGTCTGGGCTAGGAATAAGCAAAGGCAATAGTTGAAAAGAAGGTGCACAGGAAGGGCCAAGGACATGGAAGTGAAAGAGAACACGTCCACCTGGGCACAGAGAGGTGCATAACAGGGAGGGCGGCAGACCCAAGTGGGCAGCGTCACCCAACAGGTGTCCTGCTTTTCAAAAGGGACTGGAAACAAGGGACACAGAGAGGGAGAAAGACCAGAGGAGAAAAGAATTAAGATGCATGATGTCCACACACCATCATTCTGTCTCACATGGACTAATAAAAACATAAAGGAAGCAGGGGTCTCACTGCCCCTCTTAAGCATATCACTGAAAGTGGGGCAGACCTGAGAATTGACCCCCGCCCCAAGACCAAGGCCCACTCACGTGTGACAGGCCCCTGCCACCTGCATGCTTCCCAGACTGGTATCCCCAGTGCCCTACCCACGGCCTAAGGCTCACAGGACACCACGCATCAAGTATTTACCGTCCTGAAAGACCCGTTCCACGTTGAGCCCGTAGGTGGCGCACGTCTCGTAGTATGTGCACCGCTTCAGGTCGTTGGACAGCTTCCGTGCCCTGGTGTCATCGATGACCCGTGGGTTCGTGGAACTTATGGCATCTGCAACAGAACACCAAGACGTGACAACTAGGTGACAAGATGCACCGCTATGATGTCCTTCTGGGGACTCTGGGTGCCCGCCTATCTGTTTATAACCTCACCTCCCCCAGCAGAGGTGTCGTCCCTTTGAAAGTCTGGAGTTCTGTCAATAGCTTGCCCTCAAAACACCAGCCTCAAGCTCCAGAATGCCCCAGAATGGTCTCCCCACCCCACCCCCGAAGTGTTTAGAGGACAACTTTTTTTTTTTTCAAAATTTTATTGATAAACAGCAATGAGACAGTTTCAAATCAAATCAGAAGTACAATTTCAACAAATAACACACTGCATATATTCTTCTTAGTGGTTAATTGCTGCATAAGATGCGGACTTGAGATCCTATTTACAAACACCATTAGAACAAATCATTCTATTCATTAAGAGAATGTAACTATATATCTATCCCAACCACTTTGAATACACGGATACAAAATAGACATTCATCTGTATACCCTATTTTTTCTAAGTTCCGTTATTGAATATTATAGGTGTGTAAATAGAGGAGAACTTCTGACGCTAAGATAGAAGGCTGTCCAGAGCAGCCAGGAGAAAGGAGCCAGGGCGTGGTGGCAGTCACCTCCAGTCACAGTGCTCCACCAAGTGCACTCCATAGCCTGCAGGCGTGGCCACTTGCCCACTGCATGCCCACTGGAGCCTAGCAGTGGCCCCAGTGCTGGTCCACATGCATGGATGCCACAGGGGACAAAACAAAACTCTGTAGCTCCATGGCTACACTCAGGCTGGTCCAGGAGCAGGCGAGGGACAGTGTGAGACTAGCACACGAGTGGGTAGCAGGGAGAGGAGACAGGCGTGTGGGTCAGGGCTTTACTGTGCTTGGAAAGAGGCCATGGAGTCCGTGCAGAGCCTCCATCCCATGGCTCCATCCTGAGCGGAGCCCTGCCCCAGCTTCTAGCACCTGCTGGCAGCTGCACCCTGCGCACCACAGCCCAGCTGTACAGCGGCTCGGGTCTACAACAGCTCAGCTTGTACGCCCTGTCCCTTCCTCCCAGACCTCATCTGCCAGTGCACAGGACAGGTCCTGTCCCATGACATCCAGCTGCCCCACTCAGCCCCACTCCATGCGCCTGAGCCCTGTTCTACACAAGAGGAAGGCGGCGAGCTCATATCTGGTTTTCCACGCTCCAGCTGTGCACTCCCTGGGCTCTGGTACCCCCAACTCCTGCTGCAAGGATGATGCAAAGGGACAGGCTTGTGCTTGGGGAGAGAGGGAGAAGGGAAGAGGAGGAGAGGGAGAGAAGGGTAGATAGGAACAGAGGGGGAGAGAGGGGCAGAGGGGGGCGGAGAGGGACAGAGAGGGATGGAGAGGGGCAGAGAAGGGCGAAGAGGAGCAGAGAGGGACGGAGAGGGGCAGAGAGGGGCGGAGAGGGGCGGAGAGGGGCGGAGAAGGGCGGCAGGGGCAGAGAAGGACAGAGAGAGGCAGAGAGGGGCAGAGAGGGGCAGAGAGGGGCAGAGAGGGGCAGAGAGGGGCAGAGAGGGGCAGAGAGGGGCAGAGAGGGGCAGAGAGGGGCAGAGAGGGACATGTCTCTGTGGGCCCAAGCAGAACCTCAAGAAAATGGCCACGTGCTAAAATATAAGGAGCAAAAACAACCACTATAAGACACACACTAAGTGGCTGCTGACATACCTAGTGCCCTCCACTAACTCCTGTTTAGCTCGTGGGAGCCAGAGGTCTAGGCCGTCGGCTCAGCCATTTGTGGCCCTGGTGCCTGGCTGCAGGCCCCCCTCAGCTGAAGCTTGGGGCAAACTTATCTGCCTAACCCTCCCAGCCCAGAGCTTGCTGTCTCGCTAAGTCCACGGCAGGAGGGTAGTCTCCTAAGCCCTACGTGGCATTCTCCGCAGATAGCCCACAAGCCACTGGGCCAGGCTTGCAGGACAGGAGGCAGGCTTGGGATGAGCACCCACTTTCGAACATTAAGAACTTCCAGGTCTGCCACTGCAAGTATACAGAACCTTCGCTTAGTATCCACAGGGGACGGTTCCAGCCCTCCTTGGTCGGCCAAATCCATGGCTGCTTCAGGGCTACAGAAAGTGGTGCAGCACTTGCCCGTGGCCTCACACAGCTCCGCAGACCCTAAGCATCTCCGCGTTCCTCCAGATTCCTAACAGTATGCGAATGCTGACAGCTGTTGTTTGGAATTGCTTAGGGAATAACAAGAAAAAGTCTCCATCTGTAGGGTATAAATTTTTAAAAAAATTTTTATTTTCTTTATTTAGCACATAGTCTACAGGGTTTCACTGCGTAGACTGGACTCATATTGATTGTCCTGTTATCAGCCTCGCCAAGTGCTGGGATTACAGGCATGCGCCACCACGCCCAGCCTGTCACCATATCAGAGTGCCTCCCCCAAAACCCCAGCCACTATACTCTGCCTAAGCAGGCGCGTTAGTCCACTGAGCTATCTGGCCAGTGCCTAGACAATTTTTTCTTTCTTTCTGAAGTTGGTTGATCTTCTGATTTGCAGCCTGCTGTGCAGAAGGGTGAAGGCACTTAGGGGCCTGAGAACCAAGGTTGCAGGGGGCGCCCTTGTCTCCTGGTGGCCACTAGAGGGCACTGCAGGCACGAAGAAGGTCCTCTGGTTTACACTAAATCAGTGGGGCTGCAAGGTCCCAGTACTGAAGGCAAGCACTAGCCACTGAGGCAAAGGGGGCACCTCCACCAGGCATGCGCAGCTGCTGCCCCCACGCACAGCCTGGCCCCAGCTTACTTCTCGGCACAGCAGGCAGCATGGTGTCCTCTCAGCACTTCCCCGAGCCTGCACATCTCTAACGATGTGACTAGGAGTCCAGCATCCAGCACAGGAGGGCACAGCCGCAAGGCTAAGTCTAAAGGCGTGGCCCAATGCAGTATATTAGCAACAGCACAACTGAAGGGGCGCTATTAGTTTTCCTGACATGATCATTTTTGGGGCCGGGGAGATGGCTCAGTGTAATAAGCACTTCCCTGGCAAGTGCAAGGGGCTGAGTTCAATACCTGGTTCCACCAAAAAAAAAAAAAAAAAAAGACATGATCATTTTATTATTTTTAAAGTATTTGGTTGTTGCAAGGTCTCTCTACATAGCTTCTCACTACACAGTTTGGACTCCTGAGCCTGCTTTCAGCCTTCTCAGGGCTGGGATCACAGGCGTGTGCCACCATGCCGGGACTCTGGCTGCCTCAGCCCACCCGGGGGGCGGGGAAGGTGTGGCTTGTGGTACTAGGCATTGAGCCCCCGTCCCTGCACCTGCCCAAGTCTGCTGAGCCATCTCGCCGGCCCGACATTATTTTTTGCATCAACCCTACTCCTGAAAATCCAGGTATTGCAGATGGCAAGGGAATCCAGGGATGCAGCGGGAAGGGGCAACAAAAGCATTCAGACACGCTACATGCACAAACCCACCCCCAGGAGTGCATATGCTGAGCACACAAAAGAGCCCAAAGTCATCTTACAGGGTGACTTGTATCTAATGCTTGGAAACAACCCCAAATACATGAAATTTAAAAGAAAAAAAGAGGATGAAAGATAACTTGGTGGCCTAAGCACCTGCCTGGCAAGTGTAAGGACACGGGCTCAATCCCTAGTACCACATGCTGCACTGGCCCTATTCCACCAAAACCAGGCATGGTGGTGCTCACTTGTAATCCCAAGAGGATCACTACAAGTCTGATCTATGTAGTGAGACCCTGTAGACCCTATCCTAAATAGATTTAAAAAAAAAAAAAACAAGCAGGAATCCACAACCAGCAGCCAGGCTGTGTGCATGCCGCCATGATGGAAGCTGTACTACGAGACCATGGGAAGGAAACAGCAATGGTGCCTGGTGTGGTTCTGCATGCAGAAAACCTGAGACAAGGCGCCAAGTCACAAAGAGAAACAAGCTGAACAGCAATAATGAACAGAAACAGAACTCTGCAAATCATGTTAGAGATGAACCAAAAACTTACTTTAAGTTGGCTTATAAGCTGTTTCCCACAGAGATACAATAAAATACCATAACACAGAAAACAAGAGAGGAGCTCCTCCTGGTTCTGAAGTGCCTGGAACGTGCTTATGTGGATGTGGATGCACACACACTCGCGTGTGCACGTGCGTGTGCATCCACGCCTGGCTGCCTGTGCACATGTGCCACAGCCTGGCCCTGCGTGCGTTTTGCCTGGGCTGCCGACTCAGCTGTGCTTCCACGGAATTACATTAAGCAGCAGCATGTGAGCCGGCCCTGCAGCTTCTCACTGCAGTGAGGGAGCCTTCAGCGGAGGCCAGCCCCTCTGCAGACGCCTGCCAATCCCCCACACTGTGCCTGAGCTAGGGCCACCCCTCCAAAGTCCCAGGCTGGGAGGCCACTCACCCTGGGTCCCCACCAGCACGAGAGGGATCTCGCTCGTGTTCCGGTAGTTGGCCATTCGGCTGTAGTAGTGGTAGACGGTCTGGAAGCTGATCTCATCCTCCAGGCTGAAGACAAATATGACGGCGTCCACCCACATGGCGAACTGCAGAGACATGGAGCAAGGGCAGGAGCTGAGCGGGTGCGGGTGCGGGTGAGGAGGCAGCCACAGAATTAACACCAGCAGGCAGGACATCATGCAGCGGCCCCTACCATCCTGTTGGTCTTGGTTGGCCAGCGTTCTAATGGGCATGAAGCCCTCCTTTCAGCTTCTGTCCCCTGCTCCTCACCAAGCACCACTCAGGAGCAGTCTCCACACCCTCTCCACAACCCAGAGTCCACACGGGGTGTGTCTGCACCACAGACCATTTGCTCTCTAAGTGAAAACGAAACAAAATCCTTTTTGCCCTCCCTAAAGGAGTGTCAGTCCCTAGGAAGTTCTGTGTCTGAGGAACAGCCTCGTACACATAGGGACAAACATTTTATTCATTATACTCTGACCTCCACCTGCATGTCAAACATCTACATGACTAAACTTTAATACCCTGCAGCTGTGAGGATACCTAGACAGGAAGATCTCACAGTCAGGGAGAAAAGCGGGACCCACGTTACCACGGCTCTGTCCACTGCAGGGCACACTTAGGTCTGCCCCACCACCCAAAGAGTATACCCCATGTGACAGCAGCCCCCTCAGAAAACTGTAGCTTTGGGGGAAAAAAAAATCCAGTCAGTCGGCAGAGTGGCCACAGAACCTCTGCCACAGGGCCAGGAGGGTGACAATACAGGAGCTGAAAGGATGAAAAGACAACTTGTTCACCATCCTGACTTAAGCTTGGAAAAGCTTGGGGATTAGACACTTCAGAAGGCGCATGTGCTAGACTGGGGGGCGGGGGTTCCCAATGGAAACTGAGTCCAGACTTTTCATGGTCAGATGACACAAACACGGAGGTCCTAGCCCTATCTCAGAGCTGAAATGGCTACAGGGAAGGAGGTCCCTATCACCCATGTCCTCAGGGCAAGACCTCAGGGTGCCAGCAGCCCCAGCTGACCGGAGATGACCTGCCTGCAGGCTGGCCTTGGGGAGCCGGGAGCCGTCCCTGCTAGCCTGGGCACTAGGCGCTCATCCCAAAGGCACAAGAGGAGCGGTGGAGGCCGCTGCCTGCTGCAGGCCTGGACTGCTTCTCTCTCACTGCAATGCCTAAACAATTACAGCGCCTGACAGGAAGGGAAATGGGGCTCCAGCGAGCGACGTCACACATGTCAGGCAGTGCCAGCTACCCAAGAGCTGTAGGCTCCCACTGCTCTTAGCACAAAGATCTTTCTCCCTGGCTGCTCCAAACATGCATGTTCTGGGGAAGGTGTTCTACACGTTCCCTCCTGCAGTCTCCTGAGTCCTGGGCACCTCCGAGGGGCCAAAGGCCTGTCCCTGCGGATGCTTGGCCGCCTGCTCAGCCTGCCGAGGAGGAGCTGCTTCGCTTTGGCCATCACTGTGGAGCTTTGGAATCACACCAGCAGAAAGCCAAAGCTCGACCCACCCGCTAACAGGTGCCTGGAGTTCACCAGCCAGACACCCCCACTGCTCGGTAACCAGCTCTCCACCGCCAGTCTATCTCAGGGAGTTTTCTACAATCAAGCATGCTAGAAAGTCATCTCAGCACCTTTCAGGCAGACTGCAGCTCACTGCACTGACAACCCATGACAGAATGGGTACATTCTCCCTCTTTAAACGTGAGAACAGTGTACCATCAGTGGTCGGGGCGCTGGAAAACGGGAAAAGGAAACATTTCCAGAATGCCTGCACGGTCTTGCAGAGTGCAGGGCACAAGCGCTTCGGCTTAACCATCTTAGGTAAAAGACCGATCTTCAAGAAAACGCGTAGGGGTCATCGCTGTCAGCACCTCTGGGATACTTTCAGTTGTGCAGGACAGTATGATATGAAGAAAACAGGATGGATGAGTAAATAAAGTTTCGCAAGCTCTCACTTTATATCCAGAATGACTATCTTTCCAGGAATTTCTTTTTTTCTTGCTTCTTTCATTTACTTCTGTAAGCTGGGGACTGCAGCATGGCACCTGCACTGAGCTACAGCCCCAGCACCTGTTTTGGAGAAAAGACCTCACTAAGGTGCCATGTTATGGACTCCAAGTTATGACCCCGCTGCCCCAGCCTCCAAGAGCGCACCAGTATGCCCAGCTCTCTCTAGGAACTTTTGAGGAAATTCTGCTCTGCACAGTGAGTTTTCGGTGGAGCCTGAAGCAGCCTGAGAGGGCCTCAGGCTCACAGAGGTGCCGAGTCCTGCCAGCTGACAGAAGTAGACAGAAGACCAGATCCAAACACCACACAAAAGACTTGCTAAGTCATCTCCCTTCTGGAGACTCCAGCCAATTAGACGGAAAAAACAAATACAACTACACAAAATTCTAGATGCTATTTCAATGCAGTTTGCAATCAGTGCCAATTTGACTTTGCCTTAAAAACATGCAAAAGGGTATCCTTTCAGGGAGCATTTCTATGGTCAGTTAAAAACATGTGCTAGGTTACAAAAACGCCAGTCACACAGAAACCCCTCCAGGGGGGTTCCAATGCTCCTCTGTGAAAGCAACCTGGAGGCCCAAGTCGAGACCAATGAGCCTGCAGTACTCACCTGTGCCTCTGGGGGGCCTCCTTCATCTCTAATCAGCAGCAGATAGCTTTGTCCATCCACCACAATCTCCTTCTTGAACCTGCCACCTGCCACACACAAAACAACTGGTTATGGGAGAAAAGCAGGGAGGCGGGAGGGCAGACAGACATGGGCTTCGCTTGTGGACAAATACGCTCTAAGTGGCCACCCTGGGGACCACTGACTCTGAACATTTGGGAGTAACTCTGAGGTGTCTCCTGCAACCACTGACTTCGACAGCAACTGAACTCGGATCGAAGGGCCGTCCCCAAGAGCCGCGTTCACTTCTGCTGAGAAGGCACGGTGCCCAGGAGGCCACCAGGCTCTCCTGCCTAGAGAGGCGTAGGGTTTGCATACAGCCTTTATGCGTAAATTCAGAGAACTGTGCTGGCTGTGACACAGAGAACGCTGGAATTGCCACGCTCCTGTTGGGTTTCCACAAAACGGAAACAGATTTTTCTTGCTTATCAGCTCCCTGGCTGCAGCTCGGCTGATCTAAGGGCTCAGAACTTGTATTCTCCTCAAGGGAAACCCAGTTCTTGAAAGGAAGACACAGAACACCATGAGGATGGGGTCTCCGTGGCCACGGCTCACAGTTAGGGCAGGATGCCAACTACGACACAGGTGTTAGACAAAGCTACTGGATGGGGCTCTGCGCAGGTCGGGCAGAGCAGTGCAGCGGCTGACGAGGAGGCGTTAGCGACCACGATAAGTTAGCGAGAAGCCACCGGGAAGCCTGCTGGGTGGTAGGGGCAGAGATGCAGGAGAGCGGGCAGCTGGCCCCAGACCTCGAGCCTTGGCCCTCCCCTCCTTCCCCTGGACACAGCAGCCAAGTGGGCGGTGGGCTCTAGATTGTTCTGGGTCACCCTAACGGGGACTTTCAATCCCAGCACCCACTCCTGGCTTTCACCTCCTGCTGCTCTGGGCAGCCACTCCCAGAAACCTCACCAGAACCCCAAATAACAACAGCGAGAACAGCCCGCTGGGGCTCCCTAGGCTGCACTTGGGCCCTGCTTCCTTTCCCAGACTGCTTAAAGCCACACCCTCAGCTGGGACAGGCCTCTCCACAGCCCAGAATTTAGCACGTAAGCCGCTGAGCTGCTGTGATCTCGCCTGCTCCAGAGAAGTGCCTACAGCCCTCCAGGAAGGCTGCCTGGAGTGGGCCGGTCCGCACACTCACACACACACACACGCACGCACGCACACGCATGCACGCCGTCATTCGTGCACATGCCCACTTGTACCATCGAACTAGGCTTGCTTCATTGAGATTAGCTTGCTGAATAATGAAACACAAACAAAACCTTCAGTATTACAATAAAGCAGATTCGCTCCTGGGCTGGTGTCCCAGACACCAGGAAGAAGGGTGAGGTCACTAAACAGGGCCAGCTAGGACACTGCACCCAGCCGAGGTTCACAGCTGCACCTGCACTTACGAGCCACATGAAGAACCAATGGTGACCTCAGGCCCCCAATCTGGGAGAACAGGGGCATGGCATCCCTTTCCCTGCAGGGCTGTCACTGCCTATGACATCCTTCAAGTGAGATACTCCCCAAGGGTGACAGCCACTGACTGTTACAGTCACAAGTTCCAATGCTGGACCAGTCTGAAGCCCAGGGGCTGCCCCACACCAGCCATGTGGCCAAACCTCATTCACCTCTCTCCACCTCAGTGTTCCCCAAATAGCGATATTCTGGTGGACAAGGGGGCACAAGCTAGCACAGAGCCCCTGAGCAGCGCCCAGACCATGGGAGCGGCCCTGGGCGCAGTCACTAGTGTTGCTCCCAGGTTTGGCCAAGGGTCACCACGTACTTTTGTAAAAGAGAGGCTCAGTATGGAACAACTGCTTAGGAGAGGAAAATGTGGAGTCCAGACAGCCAATTCCATTTTCCTGCTCTTAACTTTTTAAAAAAGAGATGCTGGAAAGTTGCCATTTGGGAAAGATGGACACAATCCAACCTTCGAAGGAAAGTAACATCTGAGAAGCAGGTCTGTCCCTCTTGACATTGAGAAAGTCCTTCCTTCACACCCTGATCCCTGACATGTGAAGCATCACACTTGTTGGGGTCAAGGAGAAAGCAGTCAGACAGCGGGCACGAGTTTAAGACCTCTCCCGTGGTTCTCCAGTTTCTGACTGCAAAGGCAACTGATGTGGGTGATGCTCACCGAGACTCCACCTGGGAAGCCGCCGCTCTGAGGGCCAGCCTGGGACAGGAAGATGCAAGGGAGAGGCGGGAGCTGGGGAGCCTTTCCAAGCCATTCCCCCACCTTGGAGACTGGGCTGAGGCTGGCCCTGTGACTGTGGCATTCGCCCTGGCAGCAAGGGAAACTGAGGCAAGGCACGCTCTGTGCAGGAAGGCATCTCCCCAGTGCTCCAGGAGCTGCCTTGACAACCTGAGCGATCAACATGCGGCCTCCGGGTCCAGACACAGCCCAAACCCGCAGGCTGCCCCTCACGTGTGCGTGAGGGAGTGTCACTGACCCCGCACGGCGTCCACTCCACCTGCGCCCTTGCTTCCACTGTGGCCTCATCCCTTCCAAAGGCGATACTGATGGTGCAGCCCCCACTCACTCAGGATGTGACTGACAGCTAAGTACCCCCCCCCCCGCGCCGCAGTGTCACTAGTTAAGATGAGGCCGTGCTTAAGCAGGATGGCCCAGTCCCATCCTGTGGGGAAGATGGACACAGTGCCCCCCACGCCCAGCCACCCAAGCGCTGCTGCCTGCACACATGCCTGGCTCCAGAGTCAGCACTGCAGGCTGTCCCGGCACCTGGGCTCCAGCAGAGGACCCACCTGCATAGCTGCATGGGGTCTGGGGCTAAGAGTGAGCGTAGCCCCGTCCCAGATGCCCACGCCAGCCCCGTGCACACCGCACTCCCTCATGGAGCACCAGCTACTGCTAGTGGCCAGGGATTCTTGGCCCCAGCTGCAAACCACCCCCCTCCCCTGGCAAAATCCCATGGGGAAACAGCCAATGCTGTGATACCCTAGGCAGGGGGGACTGTGGGGTGCTCCACCCCAACTCGGTCTAGAAAGCAACTAGTGTGCAGAGTTGGACTCCAAGCTCCCTGCCCTGCCCTGCCAGCCTCAACTATCTGGGAGGCCTCCTGTGAACTGCCAAACTGAACATGCCTCAGTATACTGATATGGGATATGGTGGCAAAAAGCAAACTGAGAATACACTGAGTACCCTGCAAGGGCACAGAGGGTGCCCCTGTCCCTGAGCAGCCCATCCCCAACTCCACAGCGCCCCAGAACCTCTGAGAATGCCACCGCTGCCTGCAGTTCTCAGTGACATTTCTGCACAGTCTTCTGTCTACCCAAGTCTGGTCCAGTGGACCCTGCACAACAGCTCTAACCCAGCGTCCACACACAAGCCTCCTTGCCAGAAGAGGAAGCAGGGAGCTCCTGAGGCCCACAGGCTCAATGGTGACATAACTGTGGCCACTGGACAGATAGCATCAGGGAGGGGAGCAAAGAACTCCTGAGATGTGTTTTCTGCAGTTTCCTTCAACTACTTATGCACTAAGGAATGCCCTTAGGGCGAAGCTTCGCTGGCACCTGTAGGCACCACCAACCTCATCGCAGCTGAGCGAGCCTCACAGACACCGTGGGGCCCAGAGACATTTCAGGGTTCTTCAGCTCTGGGACCATCTGGCTAGACTCCACCAGCTGAGCGTTCCTATTCTGAAAACCTAAAAGGCTCCCAAATCATAAACTTGGTAGATTGTATTGGTTTTCAAAATGTTTTGTGTTTTAGTAAGGTTTTATATTAGGAATGCTCAAGCTCCATTTTAAACTTCTTTTTTCCTACTAAAACCGTAGAGGATGTAAGAAGCAATTATTTTCCCACAGGTCTATCTCACGAGCTCTGTATTCCTAACCAGGAGTGTAGAGCCCTGCCCACAGCTGCCACTACAAATGTACCAGCCCTCTGCCGATGGCTTTTATTACACAATATAAAAGGCATCAGGGTTGGTTTATTTCCAGAAAGCATCTTTAGTCTCCCTAAAGTCTGACTTCCCTCATGGATGCCACTGGACACGCCTGTCCAGTGCACCTTGTCCAGGTGAGTGGCCCCCGGAGCTGTGGACCAGGCACAGGTGACACCCGGAGAACCAGGGTGGCCACCGCTGAGCCCCACTCTGAGGCGGTACCAGGAGGCTGCAGCTCTGATGCCACCTCCAGAAGACGGGAATATGGTCCCGGTCCGGTTCCTCCCTGACCCCTACACACAGAGCAGCAGCTTCCTGTCGCTGCACCCCAGGCTCAGGGGCTAGGCTTCTGGGTCACTGCAACGGGACGGCACCAGAGCTCCCAGAGCACCCGGGGAGACCTGGCTTCTGGCCAGGGCACTGCGCGATTCAGCATCTGCCTGCCCCCAGGAACGCAGCGGGGCACTGACCGGGGTGTGAGTACACTAGGTGAGATCCGAAACACAAAGCAGGTGTGTCGGGTGAACACCCAGCACACCTGGAAGAGTAGGAGGCAAGTGTGGGTTTTTATTTTTAAAATGTCTTTACTAAAGTCTTTCAAGTGTCCTTGCAGCAACTGCCTGTGGCTCTTTCCCCACTTTTACCTCAGCACCCGCTCGGAGAACAGCGCTCACACTCATGGCAGGGGGCTGCTATGTGGATAACACATGCTGTGACTCTTTCCACCCCCGCCCACCCCTTGGCATCAGCCAGTATCGAGGTCCCATTCTGAGCCTTGATGCAGGATGCCAGCCAGTTCTGAACTCATGGTGCTGCAGGAAGCGAGGCCGCCAGGTCCTTCTGGGACTGGCGCTCAAGCAGCACCTTGTCTATTCGACCAGTTCTGCTTTGAGCAGAGCAGGAAAAAAAAAAAACAGAAGAGCAAACTCAATTTTCCTATTCCACAAAAAGAGCGGCGTTGGGAGTAAACACAGCCGCAGATGTTTGACATTTCTGGTTCCATCATTTTCGCTAATTGTACTGCAAGCTATTAACGTGTCGTCAGCAGCCCTGCAAACAGCAGCAGGCGGGGGCGAAGCAGTGCCTTCCGACCCATGCTGGTGTTGACACGGCCCGTGCTGTTGTCCTCT